GTATAGACTGTACATAGCCTATATTATTTATAGTCTACGCTTATAAGCCATAGCGGAGAGAAAAATGCTCTAAAACACAAGTTGTAGCTGTGTAAAAGCTGTATTAACTTAGAAATATTGGCTTGCTTTTGGCTTTTTGGTGATTAATGCCAGTGCAACTGTGTTAATTAATGAACAACTACATATTTATTATCTGACATCTAGGCTACAAACATAGTTCAAACAATAGACTTAGTTCCTCATTGATGAAGTAGCCTATAAGAGGCATTGGATTTTAGTTTGGAATATCTTTATGTGACAGGTTATATGTTAATTATAACCTAAATCTGAAAGGGAGAGCAACTTCATCTGGGTTCCTCTGAATCAGTGAAACTCCACACTGTTGCTGTGTATGCGGCTTGACAGAAAGCACTTCCCCTGTTTGTGGCAGAATGACTTAAAATAACGTGGTTACGGAGATTATTTGTTACACGTTTGATTGAGTAAAATTAGAAGTCAAACAGGGAACACCAAACTTGGAAAACTTCATCTAGTCCCAGCCTGTATTCAAAGTCCATGGAGGCTGTGGTATGCACTCCACCCCCCGCCATTGACCAATGACATGTTGGACACGACAGCGCATGCTCATTGCAGTGGAAGATTTCTATAAAAAGATCCTCAGCCTAGCAACAGGAGCGCTCAACAAGTAGACTACATTACAGGTCCAGATAGTTCCTTCAAGGGAGGTGAAACACACCCTTATATTGACTGACTAGTTGGATGGGTTTCAACCGGGAAGTGTTTATATTTATTTCAGTGGAGGCAGGTTTTCAAACCGGTTGAGCAAGTTAGTGCTGCTCAAAACATAACAAAGGGGATATGCAAATGCATGTTCAAGTGATCTGAATAGCCTAGCATGTGTACATTTTTTATTGTGTTAGGACTTTAGGATTTCGTAAGAGGTAAATACGTACCATAGTGCCCTCATACATGCTTCATGTTAATAGTGTCACTTTTGTATTACACTTAAGCACACAGGATCTCACATTAACCTGCTACAAGTATCCTATTCATCCTATAAAGAGAAAAAAAATCAGCGAGGCCTACTTCATGTAAACTCTTTTTAATTATGGCAAATGTATTTTTATGCATGCATGTGATCGTGCTTAAGCTGTGAACTTCAACCATTGCTCTGTAGGCTACTTGTTGCTAGCTGTGACATGTTCATGCTCATAGGCTGCAGCTGCTGAGTGGCCATCTTTGTTTGCCTGCAGACACTCACAGGCTGTTGCACACAAAAAATCTCTCTATGAACTGGCTCCTCCTTATCTACATACCAAAAAAAAAAAATCGATACGACCCGTGGTCTCACATTGTTTGTTTGCCTAAGTTAGAACAGAATCAGGCACAAAAAGAAAAGCTTTTCATATTCTGCCCTTTTACCTGAAACTCTCTGATTAGTACAGGAGGCTCACTATGAGGGAGTTTAAGTTATAAAGTATTGACAAATATTCAGTTGGTCAATGTGATCACATTTTAATTATTTACTGAATTGTTAAGACAAATTGTACCTGGTTATTCACAATAAATGAATCTATATCCCTTCATTGTATTGCATATGTGCTTAGCTGTACAGTTTTAAATACAACAAATGTATTTGTCAGAATGGAAGAGGGTAAAAGAAACCATCGGTTGTCTTAGAGGAAAAATAACCAATACTGTTGCAGAAATTGCATCAAGAACCCTCAGCATTCATTCATGGTGGTTTCACAGGTTAAAGTAGCAGGCCTTCACCAATTGTCATGTTACCTTGCAAATGAAGTGTTTGACTGTTTACTTGACAACTGGTAATGGATGTTCTCATGTTTGCTTTCAGACCGGCGACGCACATGTCTCTGTTTACTGAGCCCTGTTGCTCAACAAAAAGCTAATAGAGAATGTTAGTATAGCACGTCAGCCCATGTTGATTAAAGGGACAAGAGTGGCAGGGTTTAAAATCAGCAACAATGATCATTCATGAAAAATGTACGATTAGTAGTAGCTCATCTGATCCAAGAGTATAAAACAAAAGTGTGTTGTAAGCCAGTTTAACACAATCTCAACCAGTACTTTTTCTCTGTGTAAAGTTCAACCCACCCCTCTCAAATGTGAATACTTTTTAAAGATTCATTTAGCTTTATTTGTAGAAACCAAATCTGGAGAAGTCTTTTAGCATTAAATGGAAATCAAGATAAAGCAAACTGCATCAACACTTGATGGTTTTGCATGTTGGAGTAAAGTTATCTCATTGAAAATAAAAAACCCTGCACACTGCTGTCGCTCGGCTTCACCAGTTTATTAGAAAAAAAATCACAACATATAGTTCCCTCTGAATCTTTGCCAAGTGTGTTCTTTTCACTGGATGGTTTGATGTCCTATACGCTAATGAGATAGTTGGAAGTGCGAAAACTTCCTTTAATACGGTGTTACGTTACCTAAAATATTACTATGAAGCTAACCTATTTAAATAGACACAGATATCAGTTACTGCACGTTATATCACTTGGATCATGTGACAGATCATAAGGGCCTAACTAGCTGAATTTGATCTCTACAGGGAAGAAAATCTGCAGGGCTCTGTTGTTATTTTGTGCTGCCATCTGGTGGGCTTTAATTAAAACCAGAAAAACACTCTCATATACTGGAGCCCAGTAGAGGGCTATGACTAGTAGTAGAGGTGAACTGGAATAAAACCAGTCATCAACTAAAGAAGATAAAACAAGACAGGCAGTCTGTTCTTTGACTTCAGATCAAGGGAGAACTTCTGCAAGTATTTTTCGCTGCAAGTTCCCCTTATACCTACAAGTTCCCCTTTATACCTACAAGTTCCCCTTATACCTAAAGCCAATATAGATTATTTAAGTATAAGAAACCCTAATGAGGTGTTTCATATTTGACACAATTATGCATTTTGTAAACCTGAAGTCGTGTGATAATATGAATAGAAGTAGGTTTTTTTTTTTAAATCTTTTTTTTTTTTGCTTTTTTGTTGTTGTTGTTGCATTTTTTTTTTAATTGTTTTTGTGTGTGATTGTTTTTGTTTATTTATTTTTTCTTTCTTTCATCATTAGCTCAGTATTTTTATTATTATTATTATTATTATTATTACTATTATTATTATTCTTGTCTCTACATGAATTTGATGACATCTAGATGTTGCTTTGCACTGGGCTCGGGACGGGGGGAATGTGAATGTCAGTACGGTGCTGTTGTAAGACGGGTTTAAGATATATGTTACTGCTGCTGGTACTGTCTTGTCTGCATTGTGTCTATTGTTTGGGGTAAAATTAATTAGAATAAAATAATTGAAAAAAAGAAGTAGGTTTTTACATTGTTTCTGTCTTTTTACGTCTGAGGGCCAAGAGAGAAAGACAGTTTTTAAAAATTATTATATAGAAGCTATTGATCTGCTCAGTGATCAACAGCGTCACTGATCAATCAACTGACTCCTTATCACTGTCTTTACTCCTTGAGAATTTCCTTGGAATCTGCGGTCGTGACCCCGGAGAAAATTGTGTTTGCACAGCCCATGGGTAATCAGAGAACTGCTGCCTTTGGATGCCGTCAGAAACGTAGCAGCCAGTCAAATGACAAATTGGTAAGAGATATAAATGCTCTGTATTCAAAAGCATGTAAGATGTGATAATTGGGGATAGACGTGTCTGAACACTAAAGGGAAGAAGGGAAGTATTGTTGTTATTCTTTTCTAAAGAATGCCACATAAGCATTATTTTAACTGTTTTCAGCTTCCTTAATGTTAGAAGAATCATTTATTTTAACATTTCTTTCCAGAAACATTTGATTACTTTGTCTCATACCTGCAACAAGTGTTCAACTATATGTTAAGCTAAAAAATTCTGGAACGGGTATAGACAGTTTTGACTAAACAAAATGATTCTATTGAGAACAATTGGCTATAAAAACACAGATGGAGTGTCACCCATGCATCAGTCTTCAGTCGAGCCATTTCCCAACTGGCCGTGCTGTTGTACTGATTATCAGCACGGCTGCCTTATGAGGCAAAAGGCGACATGCTTAGTGTCTTCTAACAGCCTGCTGATATTCAGTATAAGAGCATGGTCACAAGTTTGACATTGCTTTTATACATTTCCATTTGTTTATGCAACCAGTGAAATAAGAGTCTGTCGAAAGCATAGGTTGAAAGTAACTTTTGGTGCAAGTGTGATTCAAATAAAAGAAACCAGCTCGACCAATGAAGACAACCAAATGTCTGTAACTACATCACTTTATTCTATCCATTTTATATCAGTATTCATCCAGTTCTGCTTACTTTGTTCCTGTTGTTTCTTATCCATCATTGCACTACGGTCACTTTATTTATCTCATATTTATCTTTATAGTTATATTGTATATATTAGTTCTGTTGTTCCACTTTTCACCATGCACCTTAATAACTTATCATTTAGTATTTAGCCTACTTGCACATAGCTCTGTATATATATATTTATTTCTCATTTCCTGCACATAGTTCTGTTTACATCTGTTAGTCCGATCACTGTCCACTTATATCTACTCTTTTTATATTTTGTATTTTTAAGTTAAGTTTAAGTTTAAGTTGTATTTAAACAACTTAACGCAGGAAGAAAAAAAACAAACAAATAAAAAATTTAATCAACTAAGCAACTAACGAAACTAAAAGCACAAGGCTTTGTTAAAAAGGTGGGTTTTTAGGGCCCTTTTAAAAGCGTCAGCAGACTGGACAGGATACAAAAACCATTAAAGGGTTACATAATTAGACCTATGAGTAGCCTAAATAAAATATAGTTCGCCTATTCATGTTTTATTTGCTGTAATTTGACAGAGTCGTCGAACATGAGTCACTAAAACAAACACTTTTGCAGGACTTTACCTTTTAACTGAAGCTGCTGGCATCCTCTGCTTGTGTGTGTTAGGAAGTACGAGGGGACCGTGAACGCATCACGAGCCCTCATAATGCTCCTCTTCAGCAGTAGGAGCAGCGGGCCAGCCTGCACAGCTCTTCCGGAGGCGGATAATCCCCCATCTCTACCTCTACACACGGAGTCCTAATGCAATCAGGAAGGCATTGCTGCAACTCACCTCAAGGAAAGAAGCGCGTTTGGGTAGAAAATTCAAGCAACGACCCCGAAGAAACCACCACTAGAAAGATCGAGGCTTGGACTAAAACAGAGATGGATATTTGCCTTTTTACATTTTCTGTATTGTGTTAAAGAGTCCAAATCTGACAAGCCGATTCCTTGATAATGTGGCAGCTGCTGTCGCATTTCATTTAGTTTTGGGAACAAGAACATCCTGCGCGTATTTAGAGATTGCTCACCATGCTGACACACAATCTGGTGTTAACTTTCATCATTGCGGCTCTCTCTCGGGTCAGCAGCGAACCACCACAAACTCTTTCATCACCTGCGACGCTGCTGAATTCAACATCATCATCATCATCATCATCATCCATCATCATCAGCGAAGACGAACAGGCGAATAATGTCACAGACGCAGCCGTGGGATCCCGGATTTCATCCATCATGACGCATCTGCCCACTCTGAAAAACGTAGTGATTCTGGTCTGCGTGCTAACAGCTGCTCTCATCACATGCCTGGTCATCAAAGTGATCAGGTAAGCAGGATCAAGCTGGTCACCTGTAGTATAAGCCCTACAATAATAACCAGCCTACCAATGTTTGTCACATTGTATGACCACGACTTCTCAGCTGTGCGCCTGGTAAATGAATCGATTAATTGGAGCATGTGGGTGTAAAAGGTGGAAGCCAAGAGTTCAGGTCTGGGCCTATTTAATGATGACCCTGTGGGAAATTAGCAGCCTGTTATGTCCCTGTATGTTACATCATATTATGTGGATATGTAGTGTGAAGTACACACCGGTCTTCTTGCATTTGTATTTAATTTAAAGGCTAATTTAACATTTGTTATTTTCCTATTTTATGGAAGGGATGCATTGTTTATATTTGATGTTTTTGACATGCACTCTGATGATTGATTTTCATGAGCATGAATATTCCTTGGTGGGGGGAAGTCAAATTTGTAATCCCTCTTAATACATTTTACTGATTATCTTTGAGTTGTTGAAGAAACAAAGACATTTGAGGTAGTCTTGTGATTTTGTGTGGAAACAACACTGATAGATAACAATTGAGGAAATGATTGTCAGATAATCAATGATAAAAACAATGCAGGCTTCGCACAGAAAACACCCTGAGAATGTTTGGCGTGTTCGATGATCATGAAAAAATTGGATTCATTGAATGAAAGCAAACGGCAGACTCATGATTCCAGCCTGTTAGGACTCAGCCAGTCTGAGCTTTATTATGGTCTTAAGATCTCAGAATTCACCGTCTGAGTAGACTCAAATCGGTTTACAGCTGAGGTTGTGATCATAGTGAGTAGGCTTTGATGTTGTCACATTATAAGTCTCGTCTTTCCTCATGTTTTTTATTATTTTTTATTGTTGAATCTCACACAGATCCGGGAGGCGAATCAGAAAAACACGTAAATATGACATCATAACGACTCCTGCAGAGCGCGTGGAGATGGCCCCTCTGAATGAGGAGAACGACGACGATGACGACTCGACCCTGTTTGATGTCAAATACAGGTTCGTTTTTTTGTTTTTTTTTAAACTACCCAGACAATAAGAAAACCCATGCACCAGATGTTCATGTTATTCTCAGACAAAACACAAATGTCCACTTCTTCTGAACAAATTCAAATATAATCACTCTGAGAATTTCCCAGTAAACTCTTACTTATGGTTCCCTGTTTAGAAATACTCCAGTTAGTGTAAACGTACAACAACATCGTATTTGTGTTGTTTATGTCCCTAAAGACATGTTCTAGTGTTTCTAAAAGTTTGACTCTAACAGAACATGTAGCTCTGAAAAGCATTAACCCTTCATAGTCAATGTGTTTAAACTTTAAACGTCCTGGCTTGCTTGTCTCACTTTATTTCCTCTCCATGCGTCTACTTATCTCGTTTGTAAACTTCATAGTTAGAAAGCGTTTCCCCCTGATTTGCCTGCTGTATGTAAAGCACATCGTGACGGTTTTGACTACACTAGCAAGTTAGCTTTTACTGCTTACTTAAACATATAGCACAGAGAAATGTAAAGTAATGATTATGCCGTGCAAACACCAAACATAACACAACAGGAATGAGAAAAAGAAAGTAACAGAAAAGTGGTTCTAACTGCTCCTGTTTTAGTTCAGGGGATGTGGACTTTGCTTTCACCCTTCCGTCATTTCCATTGTTCTTTAACACACAACCACTTCCTCATGGGAAATAATGTCTTGTTTACCTGACATTCCTGACTTCCAAGTCAGACCGGACCCTGTTGGAGAACATATTTGTTGACTAAAACATCAGATAAGATTCTGTTTAAGTAACTGTGTGATGTCTTTTCTTTCTTTTTTTGCAGGTGAACCCAAGCACGGACAATCCAGATTTTCTTAACTCCTATAATTTTCCCCGGGACCACTCGAGTGATTTCCTCTATTTTTTTTTTCTTTTTGTACGTGTTGTTAAGTCTTACTGAATCAGCAACTTCTCTGCAGCAGCTTGTGCATGGCTTTTTTTTTGTCTGCGTTTTAAAGGACTGGAGCCATCAGGAGATGTCATTGTTTGCTGCTGTACTGACGCGTCTATCACTCGGCTCAGAAACCTGCCTACTTCTTTCTGAGATGAAACAACTGGAAGCCTCATGCTGTGCTGCATAGGACAGCACGCCCGCTCGCCGAGTTTAAAAATGAAGGACTAATAATCCCACTTTAAGTTACGAGCGATTATCTAATCTTTATATATTCATATTTTTTGGCCACAAAAAACGTCAAGTTTGATTGTCAAATGTTAACATGCAACACCTGTTGTGCAACAAACAGGTAGTATTTGCACACTATAATTTATATATGAGATAAAACTTTCACACCAAACAGGCTTCTTGTCTTCTAACCACTTCATTGTGCGTAAACACTGTATGATTGCTGTTCTTATCTTTGGAGTAAACGTCTATTTTTTTACACGGTGATGGCAGACTTTCCTGTTTTGCTGCTCTAGCAGCGAAATTATAAAAAGGTCTAAATCCAAAGGAGAATGATACGGTTATATTTGTAAGGTGTTTATACAAATATTTACTCTGAATTTAAATGCTGGAAACGGATGTGAGTTTTTTTTTTTTTTTTTTGTTATCATATAAATATGTCATTTATTCAAGTAACCACTGAATTTAGCCGACAACAGATTGAAGGACCGCGGTGATGAAGTGACTTTATTGAAGTGTCTGACATGCACACAGACTTATTTCTTAAACTGAGCTATGTTTCATCAGTTTAAAAAAAAACATCTTGCTAGAGATAAAAGTCAAACAGCTTGTCAAATGAAATGTTAAAGTCTCCCACAGTAATGTTCCTGTTGTAATGTCGAACTGAACAAGAGTTTCTGATTTGTGCTGCACAGATTCTAAACCAATCTATTTCTTAGATTGGATGTGATATTTTGGTTGAATTGAGTATTTAATAAAAATGCATGGAAGCCTTCTTCACCAAGTGGAACATTTCACTCGATTATTATACCTTTAATTGAAAGACAAAACTCAGGAATCAACCAAAAGTCGGATTGAAATCTTCTAAAATAAGAGGTTTAAAACAGTTTACACTAAACAAAAACAATGCCAGGATGTCGTCTGCAGTGAATGTGAGTGTGGATGACCTTTTGTTTTAATCCAAACTGTTATTTGATCATGCACTGTGTCTACACGTGCAGCTGTTTCCAAATGACCTCCACCGCGATTTAACAGTTACAAGAAAAGGAGACGACAGTTGGTAGTCCTGCATCACTTTTTCAACTTATTCTTTCCAGGAGAAAGACTATTGTGTTTTTTTGTTTTGTGACATTCATGAAAGACTGGATATGTTTGTCTTTGTAAAGTATGAGCAGTATGCAGGGATGATGTGTGTGAATCATATAAAGAACCAGATGTAAATCAAGTTTTCACATATTTTTTGAAAGTTTGCATTCAAGCAGAATCCTGACTATTTCATGTGTTTTCCATCAGACTTTGTGACCTCTTGTTTATTCCGATGTTGTGTCAAAGAAATACATCTTTCACTGTGTTGTGCAGAAATATTCAGATCCATGATTGGGGCCTGTGCTTTGTCTCCTCTTCTCTCTTCTACAGTTGTCATCTTCCATTTAGCCTTTTCTTTAATCATTGTAAACTGGTGGAAGAACACTTCTCGTGTTAAGATGCTAATCCTGGATTTTATTAGGACTGCATCCTCTGCCACAGAAAATTCCTCTTGTTAAAAAAGAATCAAAGTCTTTGTGGTAGCTACTCAGACACTGTAGCAAATTTCCCTCACCCCACATTTAAAGACAAGAAACGTCGAGACTGTTCTGGAAGTTTATTGAAAGCCCCTTCTTGGTTTTCTGAGATGTGTAGTTCACCCACAGCCGTTTCCTCAAGTTCCCATTTCTTTAAAAAAACACTACTGAAATAAAACGTCCTTTGAAGCTTTACATCCTTTAAAGTGAGATAGTGGAAATGCTTGTTTCCCCCAATTCTTATCCATTTGTGTATTTTCTGCCACAGACAAAGTACATTCAGTTTGTCATTACTACACAACAAGTGTCCTTGAGTCATACTGGATATTTGAAATACAAAAAAAGAAGAAGGAAATATACTTGAGTTGTCCTACATGCAATACTTACTTTTGTTTGCTGGAATAAGACAAAAACAAACAGATGTTAACAGAGTAAATGTGACAAAGTGTTGAAATTGTTTCTGCTATTGGTTCCATCAGAGCAGAAACGACATGTCAGTGGAAAGTTTTCTAACTTTGTGGCAAATTGCAGATTCTGTGTTAATTAACTTAATTGTGTTGGTCGCAGAATGTTTCTATTTTTGCCCGAGCTCAGACGGAGCTCTCACAAATAAAACCTTTCATAGCTCCAGACTGCTGACGTCCCTGCCACCACTTTCATGTTTATTCTTAACTTCACTGGCAGCGTAGTAAGGCCGACATGCACGTCAACAAGCGCATCCTGTCAAAACAACTCTTTAATGAACAAAATCACAAGGCTGGAAGCGAAGTGAATATCTTAAATACTCGTGTTAATTTAGCTAAAAGGAAGCATTTTGTCGCTGAAAAGTAACTCGAGCATTTGCAAAGACAAAAACCTGGAACTAAACTTCAAGACGTTCTGGGTTACGCAATTGAAAGTAAAATCCAGAGCAGCATTGAACCAATAAATTAGCTTCACACGTCAGTCTGCTGCTGGCCTGAAAATCAATATCAAATTGAGTTTCTTCCCTGACTTTGTTAAGACAGTCATGTAACTCTTGTTTTCCAACCAACACATGTTCCTGGAACAATTGTTTTAAATTCTGGGCATGTAAACAGTCCAATTTTTAAATTCTGGGCAAATCCACTGAACGTAGGCACAAATACTGGCAGCTTCAATCAAACCTGTGAAGATCTGTCTCCACAAATGATTTGAATACTGGCCAAAAAACACACAATACATATAAAGTATTCAATACATTGTTGTAAATGAATAAAAGGCTGTATACAATTCATCCGCATCAGTGTTAAATGCTCTAAAAACGGTTCCTAACTGTGAATCACATTGAATTTAAAGCACATTTTTGGGGCTCATTTCTTACACATTAGTAAGAATATCACCAATACATTCATGGATTTAAAAAAAAAAAACAAAAAACATCCTACTTAAATAACACAACTACATTCTAACCTCTTCAACACATTCAATGCAGTAACAGGGCTGGTGCTCTTTGAGGAAATATAACAAAGTAAGCCAACAGTGGGCTAAAAGTCTGTGTAAACACTCTTATGTGAACAGCTGGTACCCTCCCCTCTCTCTCTCCTTCTCTCCTCACAGACGCTGAACATGCTTTCCTTCTCTCGTTTATCACTCCGGGTCACCTGACTGTTTCACACGGCAGTTCTGGTTCACTGTTCTGTTTTTCTACCCCTTAAGAATGACCTGTCTTTACCATGGACACCCGTTAAGAAGGTGCTGGATATGAAGATACAAAATGTTCTCTTATCAGAGGAAAAATGAGCTATCACAAGTTGAACGTCACAGACTTGAAATTAATGTTTTTTGTCTCGTATCCTCTTTCTCCCTGATTATTAAGTGCTTCCATCTTGTGGCCCGACCAGTGACTCACAAGAGCGAGATCCAAGTCAGCAGCTCTTCATGCTGTGGACTTTGTTGGGTAAATTACAACACCCCTTTTAATGAAGCCCTATCATATATATAAAAAAACTGGAAATATCAGTCTGTTTTGTCACAGGACCCAAAATTAAATCAGAAGTCCCCCGCTTTCATGACCAATAACTAAAAAAAAACACACAGGAAGTCCGTTTAGACTTGAACTACTGAATAAGTTCTGTTTAAGAGAGATTAAGGGGCCGTCACATGTGACAGGATCTCCATTAACAGTGTGCACAAAAAGAGTCTCACTATATTAAAAAGGTTGCCTTAAGAAATCTCGTTAAAACCACCAGATTGACTGAAAGAGCTGAAAAAAAAAACAAGTTCATTCCAAGTACTGAAAATAAGTTATTTCAAGTGTTATAAAAAGTAAGTAAAGTAGGGCAGCAAGAAAACTGTTCAGTAGTTAATATGAAGTCATTCCATTCAGCTACTTCTGCGGTCTCCCCTCTGCGTCACAGCTTCCCGTGTGGAGCCGCAGCGCCCCCTGCCTGTGCAAAGCGCTTAGGGTCCTGAACTCCAGCGGCATGGTGTGAGGACTGGCGCTGGACGTGTACTCGTACTTGAGAGTATCGTAGTAGTGGTATTTGACCGGTCTGCCCTGCGGGTCGAGCGGGAAGGGCCAGAAGCCGTAGAGGTGGATTTCCTCACAGAAGCGAGTGGCCATGGTGTACATGAGGAGCCCCGTGGTGGGACGCTTGATGTGCACGTTGTTGGTTAGCCAGTACCTGAAAGATGTACAGTTTGTGGTTAGCAGTGAATAAAATAACCTTCAACTACTATTAGAAAAACAGAAAAAAAAAAAAAAGAGGAGCACTGTCATGGTTTTTCTTTCTTTTGTGTCAGGATTCAGCTGGAAGCACGATCATCTCCTTCAGTCAGATCCTGTCTCCCTTTGGGTTTTTGAGATTTAGTGAGATCTACGGCACGATGGAGCCGCAGAGTTGAGCCAAAAAAGTGCTCGAAATACTGCGAGCTTGCACGATGTGAATTTCTAGTTGTAGACTAAAAAAAAAGTTTTTTCAAGAACTGTCTGCTCTCAGATAAATCAATATTAAGCGACCTTTTCCTCATACTTTATCTACTCCCTGGATGATGTGTGAAACATCTCCATCTTCATCAGTAATTCAGTCCGGTAGTCTCAAAATGTTATGCTTCCACGTGGACAGAAGCAGCAAGTAGACAGATACAAGTATTCCTTCTTTAGGTCACTGAGGCAAAATCAAACTTTCTATCATTTTCGCTTCTCACGTGCAAAGACGTGTGTGTTCTCACATAACTGTAAAATGAACAGCATCTGAACTGTTCAATGGAATAATACAGAGACTCGGGGGGGGGGGGGGTTCACCTTGCTAGTTCAGGGTTGGACCCCCTTTTGCCTTCAGAACTGCCTTAAATTCTTCTTGGCATAGAGTCAACAAGGTGCTGGAAACATTCCCTCAGAGATGGTCCATATTGACGTGACAGCATCACACAGTTGGGAGTGGAGATTCATCCCAATCGATATGCAGCCGGCAACTCTGCTGCATATCGATTGGGACGAATCTCCCATTTTTTATAACTCCTCCCTTTGAGTGACAAACACTCTGCTGACCCTGGACTATTTCAGCCTGAAAAAATAAAAAAAATAAAAAACTGTAACCTCCACCATAACTCATTATTTATTAAAACTGCAATATAATAATAATGAATAGTATGTCCATGATAACAAAGTGCACTAATTTTTATAATGTGTGTATATATTCCATCTGACTCCTATTCGTGTAAATATTTATTGTACCTATTATTGAATCTTACTTACATTCCTATTCTATTTGATTCATATTTTTATGACTGTATTTCTACAGTTTGGAGAAACTGTAACAGTCGAATTTCCCTCTGGGATTAATGAAGTATTTCTGATTCTGATTCTGATTCCACCACATCCCAAAGGTGCTCTATAGGACTGAGATCTGGTGACAGTGGAGGCCGTAGTGAACTCATTGTCAGTTTGAGATATAACGAGCTTTGCGTCCTCCTGCTGGAAGTAGCCATCAGAGGATGAGTACACTGTGGTCATAAATAGATGGACGTGGTCAGCAACGACACTGGACGTGCTGTGCGTTCAGAGATCGCTAGTCTACATACCACGGTTGTAACGAGTGGTTATTTGAGTTACTGTTGCCCTTCTTTCAGCACAAACAAGTCTGGCCATTCTCCTCTGACCTCTGACCTCTGACCTCTGGCATCAACAAGGCATTTTTCGCCCATGCAGGGAACCGCCGCTCACTGGATATCTTCTCTTTTTGCGACATTCTCTGTAAACCCCTTGAGATGGTTTGACTGGTTAAAAATCCGAGTAGGTTACCAGTTGCTGAAATACTCAGACCAGCCTGTCTGGTGATGTTCAAAGTCATCAAAATCATCTTTCTACCACAACCGTCACTGTGAATATACATATATGTATATATATATATATTATTTAATCTAAATGATCAATATACACACACTTATTTATGTAAATACTGTAATTGACATCTTAATTGACCCATCTGTCACGTAACTGCATTTTACTCATCATGTTACTTCAGCATCTTTTGCACTATTCACCACTGCACTGTTTCATATTTAGTCATGTAAATATTAGTCTTTTCTTATTCTGTTTATTGTTGATATTTAATGTTGTACCTGTACATAAGAGAGCACACTTCACCAAAGTTAAATTCCTTGTGTGTGTAAGCATACCTGGTCAATAAATCTGATTCTGATGCTCAGTTTGAACTTCAGAAGATCGTCTTGACCATTTCAACATGCCTGAATGAGATGCTGTCGTGTGATTCGCTTATAGATAGAAGATATTTACGTTAAAGAGCAGTTGAACAAATGTACCTAATAAAGTGGCCGGTGAGTGTTTTTTATTGTTGCTCTATTTTCTCATCTTTGCAGTGCAAAACACATCTCCCATCCGGTGAAGTCATCAGCACAGGAACATCTTTTGTATTTGTTAATTTGAAGCTGGAACAAAACAAACTGCACCTGGATGCAGGGATTTCTCTCACAACAATGGAAGACTATTTTTACTGAATGGCTTCTCAGAAAATAATAATTGCAGCTTGTTTTCTGAGCACATGTGGAAAAAAAAAAAAAAACAATCATTAAACTGCAGTTGCGATCTTCTATCTGAGGTGACCTAAATGAGTTCTTTATGATTTAATCCCACACGCTGGGGGCCTCAGGGGGGTAGGACGTCCACTCGCCTTGAGTTTCTGTTTTTTTTTCCCCCTCTCCAATCACCAGCTGGTTTCTCTGCCTCGAGGCTGGAGCCGTGCGCTCTGTGGTTAGCGCTCAAGGTCAAGTTGAGACGTAGAGGTCGTACTATTTAAAGCTGCTCATGCACCATGAAGGAGAAATGGCGGGACAGGATTTCAACATGTAGAAGAGGTGATCTTTTTTTTTGAATCAGGCATTAGTGTAACACATTCTCTGTCCTTCACTAAATATTTAAGGTTCAGTCTTACTGAGAGGACAAGATCAGGGGGATCATTTATAAAACACTAAATATTAAAAGGGGGGGGGGCAGGGCCTTTGTTTCATCCCAGAGAACATTTGAGGACAGTCATTTCTGATGTAAAGCACTGATTTTACACACTGTTAACTACAACAATCAGGGCTCAGTTCTGGCTCTTTGGAATACCGTGTGATAGTTGGGGCATACTAGATTGCATAATTTGGTCAGTGACAGGCGGTAGCTTTTTAACAATGCAGGAAAGATCCGGAGAAAAAAGCCTTATTGTGATGAAAGAGACGCGGGGACTGGAGAAAAATTGCAGGGAGAGGGATTTTTATAAAAGCCTCAAAGCATGTGGAAGATTTGCAAATTCATTTCTTCAAAAAAAAAAAAAAAAAAAAGTTCTAACTCTGTAGAGTAAGTCAAAGCAATGAAGAATGCTCAAGAGAAGTCCTGTCACCTCCACTCAACACCATCAGTCGTTTCCTTTGATAACCTCGAGTTTCTAAATCACACAGATTAAAGTTTACAAACAATACTCTACGCAGAATTTATGCTGTTAGAAAATAAAGTTTGAGTCTGATAGCGTTTTTATGAATGTCGACTTTAAATCAGCATTACATTAAAAAGCTAAAAGAAAATCCAGCTCACTGTGATCAATGGGGGGGTCAAAGATCACGGAGGTTGTGACGCTCGGTCTGTTCTGAGGTTGTCAAAATTAGATTTTCACAAATTAACTTAAACCATTACAGCAGACTAACTGGATCACTCTGAATAGCTCTTTAGGTAAGAACACATGTGTGTAAGCCTATAAAGGTAAAGAGACGTTTATAAATGGTGAAGATTCTGATGAAAACAATCAAATTGACAGTAATGTGATTTACAAAATAGCTCACACATGTTCTTCTTCTCATTTTCTTCACTGCGTTGATTTAGCCTCCATTAGAGGAGCAACAGGTCGACTAAAGTTTATATCCCCTGAGGTACCTCCAATGTAGCGCCTCTGCTGGCAACGTCACATGACCCAGGAAATGTACTGCAGCCGGGTGTGGACCAACGAGAAGAAGAAGTCAAAGCACATAACAGCCAAAGGAGAAGTGCCATTTGTTTGTTCCTAAGCCCCGTTAAGTTTCCCCGGCTCGAGAGGTAATGAAGCGTCAGTCCAATGTGTGAGCAGTCCAGCTCTTTGATTCTGACTGAAATATATTCACTGATATGTGATGGACTGACATGATAAGTAAACATTCATGCCCCCCTCAGAATGAATTCAGAGTAAATAATGATATATCCAGTACTTCAGTGAATGAAAGCTTTAGGATGTTTGTTCTGATATTCCAATCAACCAGAGATGATGGTTGTGTTGACTGCTTCATCCAGATGTTAGAAAATGCTGATTATTACACATAGTGTGCTAACCATCACGATGTCCGTTGTTGTTATGAGCCTAGGCAGCTGATGTAAGCGTTTAACATGTTACATTTCTGCTGAATCTCATATTCAGTCGACATCAGACGTGTTGGTAGACACATTTTAAACGTTGAACTGTTACGGTCTTAATTCTGAGCTCATTCCCTCCTGGCTGCTGTTTGCTTTCATAAAATACAAACATTACATTAGTATTGATCTGCTCCATCCAACTCCCTGCAAGAGGAGAACACCGCCATTACCCAAAATGCTCAGCTATTTGTGTCGGAGGGACGGAGACATTAGCGCTTCATCACCGGCACCGAAAGAGGCCGTATAGTCCTGGGAATACCGGTTGCTGTAATTTGTGTCACTTCTAAATGTTTCAGTGTGAAGCGGTACATTTTGCTCCTGTTATTTCCATCTATATTAAAAAAAGGAAATCATCTTCAGAAAAAGGTAAAGGGGTAATAATGGATTTGAAGTGTCTAAAAATGTCAATTCTGGTTGGAGGTTTTTTGTTTTGGATTTTGAAAAAATACTTTTGAGTTTTCTGTTGTATCTTTCATCACAAGAATTTGTGATTTACACAACGCTATACCACTTTGTCCATTTCTCTCTGGATCAGACACACACACACGTTACACCTATCACTTCAGAGTGCACCTTGAGAAGAGACGGACACAATCCTCTCACTAGCTGTGACCAGCTGTAGTTTAAAAATAGCCACCTGGGCGACAGATTATAATTTGCCTACTCATTTGATTTTCTTCACACAGGTGTTCCTGTGAGCCACCGACACACTTAAGGTGCGATCCGCCGCATCTGCGTTCTTACCCTCTGACAGCGTGGAGAAGGCGCAGCGAGGGGAAGGCGGTGCGTACGTCCACAGTGTGCAGCAGGATGAGTCGGAGAGCCCACTCCACGCGCTCCTCTCCCCCTTTAGCCATGAAGGCCGGGATCCACAGCACGCTGCCGCTCAGGCTCTGCAGCCGCTGCAGGAAGCGATCGCGCCACTCCTCGCTGACCAGGTCCTGGAAGGCCCGCTGCACCACCGACGGATTCATGGTCACCAGGTTGGTCCGCCAGCCCACGTCCTGGTAGTAATCTGCCACTGGTGCCAGATTACATCTGAGGATGAAACAGGCACGGGGTCACTTCACCTCAGAATCCTTTTCAAACGGTCTGAACCTCTCATTAAAATGCTGTGAACAGCCAGCCACTCGTTTATTTTCACAAGTATAAGGAAGGAAGGATTTCGATAAGGATGCTTTAGGGGAAAAGTTAAATTGAAGTTATTACATCCTTTTCCTTTTACCGGTGACTGATGAAGTCGTAACATCCAATGTGGGGCAAAGTTTCCTCTGACATTTCTCTTTTCATTAGCGCACACGGGTGACGAGAAATGCAGAGTCGAAAAAGCCTGCTGTTTATGATTTCAATTTGAAAAATGAAAAATGAAAATTCACGGGTTCCTCAGTGGGAAAAACAACAGACCTTTGCTCCTGAGTGGCAGTGATATAAATACACATGACGTACACAGATGGGTGACTGATTAAAGAGAAAAGAAAGCCTGAAAAAAATAAATCAGGGGACAAAAAATATGCAGCTGCTGAAACGACATGAGAGATCACTAAACATGTTAAGTACATTACACACCGTGATGGATCACACTTCCCTTCCAGCTGAACCTGAATATTGATGTGAATGTGTCTTTAAATCAACAAAAAAAGTGACACATCACAACGGCTTTCAGTCTTCAGATTTCTCATGTGGTAGCCTTAAGGGAATATTTGGCTTCTATTTTTCCGAGCAGCGTTTGCACAGCGATGGTGTGTCGAGGTGGCCTGACATCTCGCTAAACCAATTTCATTGAGTTTCTATTCCCCTTCAATTTATCACCCATTTACCGGCATCTCCAAGCAAGAGAAACATTTTTTTGCAGCACAGAAGCTTCTGCCGGGAGTGAAGGAGAGCTACAGCTGAGCTTTATTCACCAGGAGAGCAGAGGATGGGACGGCTTTCTGTTTACTGATATTAACCCGGGTCTCAAAGTGAATGGCAGAAAACACAAAGCAGGTCATTATCTTCTCTGGAGGTGAGGCAGGGTAAACACATCAGAAGTATTTCTAACAACTCAGACTCTAATTTACACATCGGTTAAAATGTCGGCTGTCCAGTTAAAAAGACACAAAGTCCAGTCCAAACCTCACACCTTTACAACTTTAAGTCTAAGGCTTGAAACTAAGTCAGAGTATTATTAGAGAACCATCGGTGTGTGTGTGAGATGAGAAGGTTTAACGTGACTGAAACATGTACATGACGCCGTGTGGTGGGAGACGACATGGAAAGAACTCAAAATGATTTAGTTTTTACACTCACTTCCTATTGGTTGAACTTTGTTACGACGGAAGAAGCACGGCCATTTGCTGTTAACTTTCTTCAGATTCAAATGTCAAAATCACCTCAATGCTGGAGTCATAGTCTTCAAAGGACTGTGATTTGTGTTCCTTTAAATCTTAATGGATTCAGACAATAAGCAATGACAGCGAGATACGTTTAGGAAACAGATATTTCAAACACATGAAAACATAAAATTAAGACCCGAGCAAGATGGGATTTTTGGGTCCGATACGATATACGATATTAGGGAGAAAAAAATCAGATACCGATATATCGGCCGATATCTTTCTTAGATCTATTTTTTTTTTGATCTGTAGAGATAAATATAGATATTTATTGTGTTGATCCCTCAAATGCAGTTATCAAACACTTGTGGAAAAGATAAATAATGAAGATGGAAACTGGAAAGTTACTGCGCATGTACGTGCGTCACAGCCGGAGAGTGATAATGCTTGATGTAATCCATACAGCACACTTTGCTGGTGGAGGGGAACTGCTAGTGTAATCCAATGAAACTAAATTGAAATGCTTTTTCACTGGTGAATAAATCAAGTAATATATCTGTGCATTTGCAATAAAAGTAGTCGATACTGACAGTCACTGGATATGCTAATATCGGCCGATGCTATTATCGCTTTACATAAAACCTGGACAGTGTGCACCAACAGCTGACCCTACATTATTTCTGATAATTCAAATGACTACTTTGCAATGTATAACATGGCATTATTAGAAAGCGGAGATTTAATCATCTCACATACCGTGTGGATACCAAGTGTAGAGCAGGAAACTGTCGACACTGTCTCTCAGTCTGATACACACCAATGCTGTGGAGAATTCCTTAGCTTCTCAAAATGCCACATTCCCTGTTGTCTGTCATCAGCCCTCAATTACCCCCCCCCTGCCCCCCTGCTCTATTATCATGCTGCTGGAGCCTTCAAAATCATGACCTCTCCTCATCAGCGTAACATCACGGCAGCACAGAGGGAAAGACACCCAGAACAACAGAATCCATTTGAGGAAAAGAAAGGAGACATGCATGGATTCAGAGGCCTTTTCAGCTATCGATCAATCGCCTCAATGAGGTGCACCCGCAGACGGCTAATCCGGCTCCATTTACTCGACAACATTCAAGTCATTGATTCATGAGAGGATATTTCTCACAGTAAATACCTCCGCATTTACTGCATGCTTTGTTAGACAGCGCCAGTCATCACACAGAATCCCAAACACATCACGTCTTATTGAGTTTTCCGTTATTATAATATAACCGAACGCAGATTTATTTTCCTCCTTGCGACTAAGCATTGAGTTGTGATGAATTACCCTCTTTTTTTCAATTTATCCTCACCCAAACACTTAACAGAGGCGGCTGACGGCTTTACAAACTGAATCTTCTGGTTAAATGAGAGCATGACCTCTGAGAGAGACACGATGTGATTCTGCTAAATGCAGGAGCTTTCCAAAATGTCAAATTTAATGTAAAATCTTGTACTCCATCGCTCTCTGTCTGGCTGTTCATTTCTGATTGTAAATTGCGGAAAAAAGCTTTTTAAAAAGTCCAGTTATTATATTTCCAGCTGTGTGAGTGCCGAACTTGAAACTGAAAACTACAAACACAGACACAACTTTAACTTTCAGCCATAAACCCAAACTGAACTGAAATGTGCAAACCCATTTTAAACACAGAGCAATCGTATGTCCACTTGCATGTTATAGGATTAAATGTAAGATTACTAAGTCTGAAATCAATAAAAGAAAATACCTGATAACAAAGTCGTGAGAGTCGATCTCGGGTCCACAGCTGCTGTTCAGCAGGATCCCGGAGTTCCCCACAATAGCACAGCGCCTGTGATGCTGGTTCTTCAGAGGGGACGCAGTGGGCAGGAGGCGGTAGAGATTCTCCGAGATGTTTGTGGTGCTGTGGCGATCAAAGACATAGTGGATGATATCTCCTGGTTTCAGCGTGCCCTTCAGAATAGAGATGTCTCTCTCCGGATCAAGAAATCTCAGAATATTCTTCCTGTTGGAGAAAAAAAAAAAGAGAGAGAGAGAGCTATGAAAGAGTCTGTGTTAGTGGGGCTGAAAATATATCCGCTGAGATATCTGTGCAGAGAGATGAGAGTGCCTGATGAGTTTGGAGAGGGTCTTGTTGAAGGTCCAGTTGTTTGTCGAGAGCCGGGCGGTGTTGTTGCAGCTCGGCTCGAGGTGGTTTGAATCTTTGCTCGGGTTCGTCGACGCAGTTGGATCCACATGTGCAGTGGTCTTTCTAAACGGAAAGGAAAGGAAAAGTAATTTTTATTGGCATACTATGAAAGATATCTGATCAGTAAATACCTAAAGCTGATGTGATGTGTGAACGTCTTTCCCTTTTATTAGTCAAAGGTCATTTGTAGGCCTTTTTTCTGTCTGGATTGTAGGTCTAAGAATACAGTTTGTAAAGCCCTCTTAGACTACATTTTGAGAGTGGTTATGTAAACACTGGGACAGTCAAACTACGTTCACTTACTTGAGTATTTAATTGAGCTAAGGTTGAGTATTTAATTGAGCTAAGGTTGAGTATTTAATTGAGCTAAGGTTGAGTATTTAATTGAGCTAAGGTTGAGTATTTAATTGCCAATTTGACTTGCATTCTATGACTCTGTTTCAGTCAGACAAATGTAACGCTTTGAAATGTGCATTGCAGAAGCAGAAACGTAGTTTTAAGTCAGGGAACCAGGCTCCATGTCCACACCACTCCTCACAGTCTTATGATATATGCAGATATTTCAAGAGTCATGACACAATATGCTAAACCCCCAGAATGACGCATGTCAGGTGTGAAATCAGTGCAGCTCCAGTTGCCTGCTTGAAGAGGCTTGCAGTCATTGCTCCATTTGTGGCTCGGCGTTTTCTCTTTTTGACTGTACCGCTCTCACTTCATATGTTTAACACGCAAGTTGTACGTTTGTTTTTGTCATACATCGATTACACTTCGAGATCTTTTGTTTACACGTTTTTATATCTAGTTTTTAGTTATACAGAACTTCAAATTGTTTCCAACTCAATCACCTGGAGTCTTAAAATAAAACTGACAATGCATTACATAAGTAATAGTTACTTAACAATTGGATAAAACAATTTTTTGCATGAGTACTTTTGATTCTTTTCATTCATTTAAGCGATAGAACTTGTGCGCTATGAAACATTTCTGCAGCACTTCACTAAAGTAAAAGTAGATTTTTACAGAAATATAAAAAACCAAATAATTGGAATACAGCCCCCCCGACACTGAATTCATTCCCCGGCCTTGGCTTGGACGAGGTTTACAATATTTAAACATGTTTTATTACGCCATTTTTCTTCTTCTGGCAGATGTGTTCAGAGTCACATGGATACCACTTTAATTGAGATATATTTATAGCAGGAGCCCACTTGCTGTAAAAGTAATGAGACACTCAGTCGGTATGACTCACGGTGTTAAAAGGGCTGCAAAGGAATCAAAACACACCGACATATCATAAAGAAACACCAGGAAGCTCCCTACCGGTGGTTTCCAGCTGGATGCATATCTATATGTGTGTCTTTGTGTGTGTGCGTGTGTGGAGAAAATTGGATTTCAGACCTGTGCGGTTGAGGGATGAGCAGGTGCAAGTTGCTCTTCTTCGAGTGTCCAGTTTTCCTGGAGAGAGAAATAAACGATTTTAGATTAAATTATGAATCAAACCAGCAGCAGGAATTCTTCTAATGGACCGATACTTCCTGTAATCATATCATGTGACAATAATGCACTTTCACTATTCAATACTGTACTTCCATCTTTTGAGACAGAATGAAGGTGAAAAGCAAGCATCAAGGTATTTTTAGAGCAAGTCACTGTGGGCCCATTTGCTGATGTAATGAGGAGAAATGCGGCCTTAATGGACTGCCATTATACTGAAAGGATATCTTCTCAATATGGCAGCCAGGGTGCATTTACAGTAAAAACAAACACTGAAGTTTGTTTCTAAAGCAGTCTTTTTTCTTTTCTTTTTTTTGCGATAATGACCTTGATCTCATCTGGAAAAAATCGAGTGTGTGTAAATAAAGCAGCGAGGAATAGAATCAGAGTAGTTCAGCTGTGACAGAAAGGTCAGGTGGGCTTTTCACTCTTTTTACAAAACCCCCGGTGCTCTCAAATGTAATGAAATAAATGTATTAAAGGCAGCATTTATGCACAAATGGAATTGGTTCTGGTTCTCCTCCCTCTGCGGATCACAAAGCGATACGACCTCGTTCAACATGATTCACAGCCGGGTAATTGCATTCAAAACAAACGGGTCGTTGAAAAGGGGAGTCCAAACATCTTTAAGAGAGAGATAAGTCATTTTCTCCTGCTTCTCAAAGGTATCGCAGCCTCTTTACTCAGCGATGAGAGCTGGAGGAGGATGCTTCACTGCTGAAGTCTGGGTTGGTTTTCCCCTTAGAACAGAAGGGTTTGAGTCTAAATCAAGATTGTGTTTTCTTTTTTCAGGTCAAAAAAAAACAAGTGGGACATGTGTGTGTGTGTGTGTGTGTGAGAGAGAGAGAGAGAGAGAGAGAGAGAGAGAGAGAGAGAGAGAGAGAGAGAGTTGGAAGATTTCTGCTGCACTGCTCAACATTTCAAAGTCTGAGCATGGGAAATAAAAAAAAGAGGAAAGGAAGACCTCTTTTGTTTCCATCTGTTGCCCCTCCTCTCTCTCTGTCCATTATGTCTGTCTGACTCTCACACACACACACACACACATTACACACACATAACACACACATCTCTCTCTCTCTCTCTCTCACACACACACACATTACAAACACATTACACACACATAACACACACATCTCTCTCTCTCTCTCTCTCACACACACACACATTACAAACACATTACACACACATAACACACATCTCTCTCTCTCTCTCTCTCACTCACACTCACACACACACACACACACATTACAAACACATTACACACACATAACACACATCTCTCTCTCTCTCACTCACACACACACACATTACAAACACATTACACACACATAACACACATCTCTCTCTCTCTCACTCACACACACACACACACACACACACACACCTCTCTCTCTCTCTCTCTCTCTCACACACACACACACACATTACACACACATAACACACACACATCTCTCTCGTAGTGTAAACGTATCCTATCCCGCATGCAGCCTGCTGCAAAGACAAATAGCCTAAATCCTTGGAGAGCCGTGCAGGCTGCTGTCTGAACAGCTGCTGCTGCTGCAACCAAGTGTTACAAATGTTGAAATGAATCATGCTTTGCTCCACATTTAACTCTAAAACTTCCATTTAAATCACGCAAACTAGTCCGTATCGATGGTTTATTCCAGTTCCCAACACTTAACCATATCCCGAGCTGAGACAAAACCTGCTTAACAAAACAAAAAAACAATGGAGACACACTCAGTACACACTGAATGCGTGGAGGAATCACGGTGGGCTGCTACTTACGCAGTTCCTTCCTCCACTTGTGCAATATCACCTATGATCAGAAGCACCACCAGCGATACAAAGACGAGCAGCAGCGTGCGGAACACAAGCGGCATGGCTGAGGGGGGGTCTGCAGCCGGGGGTGGGGGGGGAGGGAGTCCCTCCTTCCTTTCTTCCTTCCAGCGAAACACTGAGCTACATTAACCTGCTCGTGTTTTCCATTTAGAAATCGGCTATCAGCTCACTCATCTCTCTCCTCTTGTTCTTATCGGCGGGGCTGCGGGTCCTTCAATACCCCCCCTCCTCCTCCTCCTCCTCTTCTTCTCTGTGAACGATAGTGAATGTGTTTCTTTTCCTGGTGGGTCGATGCTGCCTGCTGCCGTCTCCACTGCTCCCTCTATTCCCCAGTCAAACTTTGAAAGCGTGTGCACCTACACAGCCTGCCATGGGAGCAGCGAGATGTAGACCACATGCAGTCTTAAAGGAACAGGAGCCAAAATGTCCATTTGCACCACCAGCACCCGCTGGATCACACTCAACCCCCGATGTTTGTTCTGAAGATATATATCTTATCTGTTTCCATCTGGGCCTGCTTTGCAACAAGCACACAATAACTGGCAGAGAAAAGGAGTCCTACTTTTATTTTATCTGTGGTCTCTGCAGCCAACAGTTCCAAAAGGTCATGGATCAGAGAACCCCCTGAAGTTCTTGGGTATCTTTTTTCAATAGGCTCTGGTTACCGGACGTGCGGTGGCGGTTCTAGACCAATTTTACTGAGGGGGCCAAACTGGGGCCAGTTGTTTTGTCAGAGGGGAACATTAAACCCATTTGAAAAATAGACAAAGATAATCGTTTTAAAAAATATATATAAATATTATGCCAAATAATAGCGCGCATCATTAAATACCATGATTTATATTTGTTTCAGTAACAGTATTTATATCTAGATGTTGAGTCAAATACTGTGTATGTGTTAGAGGGGCTCTTCCTTTTGGAGGGGTGGCCACAGGTGGGGGGGGGGGCAAGCTCAGTGTTACAGGGGCCCCTGTTGGCACCTGCCTAGAACCGCCCATGCAGACGTGTGAGTAGACTAAGTATCAAACAGTTTTAACATAGCTTACAGTCTAATTTACTTGAGTTCACACTTTCTATCCAAGCAGTAATCTCTAAACCCATCAGCTATTGTCTGACTTACATGTTCCAATGGCCAACTTTTCGGGTAAGCGATAAAATAATTCCAGCCAATAATTCCATTTACATGCATTGCCTATGAAAACAGTTCAGCTAGCAACTTAGACTAGAATAGAACTTTCTTTGTCCACAAAGTGGAAAATTGTCTTTGGCTTCACAAGAACAAGACAGGAAAAACATTATGACAAACAAGACAACATTCAAGCACAGCAGGAAACCAGGAGCGCGCCTGTAGTCCTCGACAACATCACAGTCAGCATGGTTTGTGAAGTTAAAATAATAATTTAGTATAATAATAAGCCAGAGTTTTAAGACATTTCATAAAGTTATAGGTTTAAAAACAGTAATTTCATAAAACAATGTGCAGTTAGAGTTGAGGGGGGTCGTTTTTTTCCTTTATGAATTTAATAATTTTATTGCATTTGGTCCAAATAATTTTTTATAAACATTTTTTGTGGCTCTTGGCAGTCTGAATCGCCGACCCTATGAGTGAATTGTAAGCTGCACTTGTATGAGGATACCTAAGCTATTCAAACACATTTATTAAGGCTTGTAAGAGCCAGAATGGTAACAATGACCCGAAACGTTATAAAAAAAAGATGTAATGAAACCTGAAATGTAATAACAGGTCGATAATGTAACAAGATGCTTAGCCCAAAACAAACCCCTGAAGTTCTTGGGTATCTTCTTTCAATATATATATATATATATATATATATATATAGCCTAGTTACCAGAGGACTACTATTTAAAGACATTTCTAAAAGGCTTGATCATCATCACATGACTGCAGATTGGTTGCAGGATTAACAACATTACAGCTTGTGCTCTTTTTTCCTGCAGAGACCCGGGGGGGGGGGGGGGGGGGTGACATGGATATGTTCTTCTTAGTTACGCACACAAGCTTTCTGTTGCACGCACCCGTTTGCACTCGCACTTAGTACTTAAAACTACCATATTCCCCATGGCGGCCATGTTGCCGTGACGTCATGCTGGGTGTGACGTCACGCAAATGTTGTTGTCGTGTCATACTGTAGATACACAGAAAATGAATACTAAGCAAATGGAGACACAACAGGCCATATTATAAGTGACCCCTTCGCTACCGCTAACATTAGCATTCAGCCACTTCCTAGTTAACATTTACATTTGAGAACAACAGAAATGAAAATCGAAATAGATTGATAGACTCAGTTCAGTCACTAAACTTGACCTGTCAGATGGGTTTGTGCTTTCTCAGGAGTGTTTCATGCAAATATCAGACTGTTGAGTTCATTGAACAAACAGGATATCAAAGAAATCTGTGTTTCTCTTTTTGTGGGTGAGTGAAAAATAATTGTATTATGTAAAATGTCAGCAGTAATTTGTCTGCACCAGACTTATTACATCGTATTTGTTCTTGTTCAGTGTTTGTCTGCTATTGATGTGGTCGTGATGGTGCACCCATGGGAGTCAGGGTTGTTGGATTTAAGCTGCTTTTCTCTGCTCAGAAGAATTCTTGATACCAGCAAAAGAAAACACATTTTTTTTATCCCTCATGTTCTCTTTAGTTAAATAAATATAACAACTAAAGTCAGCTACCACAAGACAGAATCTATCACTGTGAAACAATATTATGTAACAAACTCATCGACTAACACTTTAGCCTCGAGCACAGACTGGATTACTGAAGAACTTTGGTTACTAAGCCTTTGTTACACCTCTCTCTTAGAGACAAACAACTTTTCTTGAGATAATGATGTACCTAACTCGACATTGACATGACAGCATATAGAAAGAAATACACAAGCACATGCTCTTGGCTTTGATCCATTTTAGAGCAAGTTGTTTTTTTTTTTTAAATGGCCGCATTATGTTTTCTGTTCACCAGTAAGTTCTTCCCAGCTCATTTGTTGATATTGTCATTCTGTTGGACTACACATAGCATTGATATAAAGGCAAATATTCTCATTATAGCCCCCCCCCCTATAGTCTCCAGCTTTGAGGAGCATATGTGAACAGCCACGTCGGGAGAATCTAAAAATTATCCAGATATTTTTCCGACCACTAAGTGTTCACAATGAGGCCCATAGCTGACCTGATTTACAGGTGGTTCAATAGAAAGGTTTATCAAGAGGCCTAAAACCCAACTCAGCTCCAGCGCTTTTCCTGTCCATAGGTTGAAGAGTCCATATTCTGCCCTTTTTGGGGTTCTTATATTTAATCTATGTACCTACTTTTGTACGTTCACAATAGATAAAGTCCGAAAAAAGTGTCTGTTTTCATGTTCTGCTCCTCCTTGCTCCCTCTACACTCTGAGTCCGTCAGCTACGCTCTGTTGAACCAACCAATTTCAACATGAGCTGCAGGGCTTGCCACAACGAGCCAATGGACTTAGATCAGTGATCTCACACTGACAATGACGTCGCACTGACAAATGTTTATCGAGGGGGGCTAGAACCGAGCGTTATATGCGGCTAATGCTACAGCTAACAGGAGGACGTAGGAGAAGCCGCGTTTCCGCGGACTTTGAATTTTTGCACATAGATGTTCCTAAACATGCACAGGACACTTGGAAAACACACTAAAGGACATATAAAACCAGAAAAAGCAGAATATGGGACAGCCATCGATGGGACTCCAAAGTCCTCTGCAGTAACAGATTGGTGACGTCACTCAGGCTTTGTCTATTGATATTTACAGTCTATGCTCTTGGACCAGTTTCCTTTCAAAGAGAGGTTTGGGTGGATGTAAAGGCAGGATACTTTATTCTAATATTCTCTCACTGAGTCATACATGTTTACAATGATTGCCACTGCTAATATTTAAAAAAACCGTGTTCTGATCATATATTTCACCCTTTTTCATATCTCAGAAAACTTCTGCTTATTTTCTTGTACAAAGTGTGCAGCACTGCTGATGTTAGAAAGAGAAAAACATCTGACTATGAATCTGTGTTTTACAGTTTCTGGCTATAAGGCTGCGCTGCTTAAACGTCTTTGATAACACAGTTTCCAAAGCTCTGTTTATCCACAATAAGCAAACTGTGCATGATGCTTCTAGCGGTTCCATACTTGGATTGTTTGCTTCACCTCCAGCGCAAGAAGCAAAGACCTGTTTCACTTAGAGAAACAATTTACATCATGAGTTCACAATCTGCTGCTTAATTAGCCCGCGATAAAGCAACTGAGTAAACACATGTAAACATTTTAATTATCTTTAGGTTACTAATGTTCGGGCCATTTTAATTACAACTGCTTTATCAGCTGCACTAGAAGCTATCAGCGTAATTAATACAGTATATAGCTGCTGCAGTGTCATTGCTCCATAAATAACAAGGAAAGAAAAAAATGCTTACAAAATGTTCCTTTTGTCCTGCTCATCCTTAACCAATCACAAGCCACAAAGATGTCCCGTCTTATCAGTCAGACGTGATTTTATTATTATCATTTTGCAGACCATCACTCAAACGCACATGAAAGCAGAGCACATGGTAAACACGTGGTTGGTTGTTGTGTAATTGCAAATACAGCATTCATTTGTCAATGCAAATGTAAGGTGTAAGGTCTGTCTGTTTAAAAATTGCATGCATATATTATCTAAAATGATTGTGTTTGTGGAGCTAATTTACATGAAGTGAAAAGTGCAGCTGTAGCCTTGAGAGTGCAAATAATGACACGTCTCATAATAATCATGTTTAAACTGATAGTATTATATAATACAGACTAATGCTGATTCATTATCAAAACTGTGTGTTGTGCATGTAAACACACTCGCACGTTGAATCAAACACCACCGCCGCATTCATCAGATATTATTGTTGAAAAATCAGCATCCAAGCATGAAAGTAGAAATGTCAGCAGTCTGAATTTATATATTCACTTATTCACTTAGACAGAAGTCAAAGCTCTCCACAGAGGATTTATTGCCTTATTTTTCCCTCTAGAGATGTTGTGTAACAGTTCATCTTCCTAAAGCACCCATTAGGCTAATTGACGCCTCCTGATTGAAAGAGAAAACTCTCGCCAGCAGCAGCAGCAGCTTCTATTTTGAGCTCTGTGTGGCTTCTTTTTTTTTTTTTTCTTCTTCTGTGTTTCAAACATTCTGGCGAGGAAGTTTTTCTCCGAGCTGCATTCTGCTTGTCTTTGAAGTGACGAGCATCAGGAGTGAGGTGCGTTATCAGACGCTGTTGTTCTCTGAGGCAGATGCTGCTGATACTGCTGCTGTGTGTTGACACACTAGTACACTTTGAAGAGTGTCATTGTGTTACTGTCAGACTTTACAAGTATACATGAGACCCACACGCACAGAAAACACACTTCACACTCTTCTTTTTCAGAGTGTGTCATGTTTAAACGAACGGGTACCTTGGGAAATACAACACATATGTCATGCTGTCTCCATGAGAATATGCTTCTGTACATTAACCACTTATACTGAGGTGTTTTCTCCTCTCTACATCCTTGCTTGTGTTGTACTCACTCTGATGTACGTCGCTCTGGACAAAAGCGTCTGCTTAACTGTAGAATTAACTATTTGAATTAAGTTGTAATTTATTATTTATTCCTTGGACAGTATCAATTATGTATTTAATCAGAGATGCAGTGAGGCTGAGACTGATTTCAGTCCAGCAGTCTTAGTTTGTTTTCTTTCATAATGTTTCACATTGAGGACAATAAAGTAAATCTAATCTTATCTTATCGTATCTTATCTTAAGATGACTTGGTGCCTCGATTAATGGTTGAGCTCCTTTTGTGGGTGTTTTTCAACTAAAATATAAAAAGGGTTACCGGGGCTCAGTTGTTTACAACTGCAGAGCGATTTTTTATTTTTTAAATTTTTTTATTAAAACATTTTCGAGCAAACAAGCTTCTCTAATCAGTCTTGCACGGTGCCAACCCTCACTACATCAAACTCCCCAAGCTGCCTCTGCACAGCTGTGACGGACTCGGGTCAGACTCTAATTGGCTGATTTGGGGGAATCTAGTCACACTACAAAGAAAAGACATCTCGGATTTATTGCAGTTCACTTAAAAATATTTGGCAAAAATGTAAACATTTCTTTGGGAGGGGAGTGGGGGCCTTTTATGCCTTAATATAGAGATTGGACAGTGGGTAGTGTCAGAGATTGGGTGGAGAGTGAGTGGGAAAGGACGGATTCAAACCGATGCCGCGAGTACAATTACAATGTTTGGACATGATGAGTTCATCAGAAAATGAAAGAAAAGGCTGAAATTAAAAAAAGGGAATTTTCTTTTCAGTTACACGTTTTTTTCTGTTTCATTAATGTGAAGTGTAAAAACACAAAGCACTGTGAAACCAACAAGAAACCATATGCGTCACTGGTAAGAGAAATGACCCTTTCAAGGCAAAAATAAAAGCCACAGTGTCCTCATTGTTGTGCTGATGTTGCCTCACAGTTGGTTTAATATAAAAGCTCTAAAAAAAATGGAACAGTAAGGGAACACAAGTACAAAAACAGCCCGCTATCACCAAAAGAAGAGTTCAGCAGTAAAAGGACTTTTGTCTCAGGAGGATTTAAAAAAAAACAACCTTTTTGAGGTGTAGCTTTCCCTTTGCCTCAACATGGCTGTAGGTGATATAAGTTGCTGAAAACAGGAAGGTGGATCTCATCAGGACAGTTCTCTTTGCAGTGCCTCTATAAGTGTCCAACATTAATGTTAAAATAGAATGGTTAGTTAATAAATCACTGAGCGGTTTAAAGGTATAGAAAGGATTTAGAACCAAACACAAAGTTTTAATTATGTAACAATCTTAGAACAACTTAAGGTGCACACAAACTCCAAACCAGGGCATGAAACATTTTTGTTCTCCACTAACTTTTAATTATTTCCAAGTTTATTTTACCCTCAAACACCTCTGTATGAATCTTCTTAAAAATTAACCAAGTTGCGGGGCGCTGGTGGCGCAGTGGTTAGAGCGCGCGCCCTGGCTGTGGTCTTCCAAGCAGGCGACCCGGGTTCAGATCCAGCCTGTGGCTCCTTTCCCGCAGTTCATTCCCCTCTCTCTTTCTCCCTGATTTCCGACTCTATCCACTGTCCTATCACTCAATTAAAGGCACAAAAAGCCCAAAATAAATCTTAAAAATTGAAAAAAAAAAAAAGTAATTAATCATGTTGCAAGTGGAAAAATAAAGCCAACGCTGCATTGCAAAGAAAATGCAATTCCTTGAGTGTCCACTAGAGGCTGGCTGCAAAAGCCTCAGAAGTCACATACCAAAAAAGCCTATTTACAGCAGAAATAAACATGTTAACTGCATGGTAAAAAAAAAAAAGCCTGAACAGTTCATTTATCTTTCAGCACACACTGTACAGGGGCATATTCTTTTTAAAATATCTAGTCTGTTTTGATTTTATAAAGCATAAGAGCTATTCATAATAAGGGGCGTGGCTAATCTATGGGACAGACGTGCGTTGTGTAGCTGTTTGTCACGAGGCTTATGGCCTATCTTGAGACAGCATTTCCAATATGGCGACCGCCTCAGATGTGCTTCAAAAGTCTGCTTTGGAATGCAGTGGTTGACGCCTCAAAGACTATGCCCATGTTTTTTTTTAACAGTCTATATTAACGTGTGCTTCTTGTACAACTTGTCTTAATGTCTTCTTTCTTAATTAGCTTTTTGAGCTTTTCATTTACCTCGGCCTGCCTTTAGTGTTCCTCCTTATTCCCTCAGCTGTGTTTTCTGTCAAGAGAATGGAAAGTGTATTGGTAAAAACATTTTATATTATAATCCATATACATTTCAAAAGAAATGAATATATTTATATTCCTGGTGGATGCTGAAAGTTCAGCAGTTTATAAAAGACCATAAACCATCTGGAAGCTGACAGGATGCTTTGTTATTTTTCTCTTGTTGTAAATATGCTTGAATATCTCGCTACTTGATTGATGTATTCACTTAGTATGGTAAATTATTCTACGGCTTCTGGAATTCTGTACGGCTCTATTATGAAAAATGACTGAAAGCAAAAAATCCAGAAGCTCAAGTTGAAGCTTTAAATCTGCTGTGCAAATCAAAATATGAGAAATCTGTGTGTGTTCATGTGTGGGTCATTAAATCTCAGCTACTTAGCTTCCCATCGTACTTAGTGATCACTTAAGAGAACATGTGATGAACTGTGAAGACTGACAGATGAAAACTAAATGCTCTTCTCTCTATGGACCCTGGCGTAAGGGACAAGAAGGTATCAGATGGAGAATTCAGTTTTTATTTACAATATTAACAGGATATCAAAGTCAAGTTTTCATTATCAGAAATTGTATTCTTTTGTTTTGCTTCTTTTGGGTCTTAATCTTTTAATCTAATAAACAGGGGCCAACATTTTCTATCAGACATGAAACCAACTCACAGCTGACTGTTGGAAAATAATATAACATGTGAGCCTGTTTTTAAAAGAGGCCTGCTGGATCGTCATGGTAGTGACTATGTGAACTTTATGTGTTTAATCTTGTGTTAAACTTGTATATACAACGCTTTTTTCACAAGTCTTTTCTTGTGTGTGTAACTTACTTATCAAGTAGATTTCTGTCTTTTCCTTTGCAGTTTTGTGAAAATGTGTGTTTTCTGTCGGTTGATTTGTTCATGAAACAAAACAAAAAAAAACAAAGCAGCTTGTTCAAATGATAAAAGTTTACTAAAAGTAATGCAAAAGCACTCAAAGTGAATTTGTTTTCTGAAAAATAATTTATTTCCAGAGTAAAATAAACCATATGTTGCCATACAAAAAGTGTAAGAAAAAAGGGGGGACAATGTCCAAACTGTAACTACAGCGAGATCAGCAGAGTAACAGGTAGTGTGTGCTTCGCTGCATGAACCGTTCTTCATACAATGTGTAGAAATAAATCCAGTGTGTTGTCGATGGTGTTCACTTTGTTTGACTCTGCACACACACACACACAGCTTCCTGTACCAATTCTTGTTACTTGTATCCCAAAAATAACCGGCCTAGTTTGAAGACACCGAATCTGTTTCCTTCTTATAAAACGTACTACTTTCATGTCTATGAATTAAATCCCAAATCTTATGTGACATCAAACACACACATCTCAATAATTAGATTATATATATATATATATATATATATATATATATAAATTATATTGTACTTTCAAATACAATTTAACAAAACATCCTGGGCTTAATAAAACAAATATATTATTACTCCTTTTTTTTTTCTTTTACTTGAATTCCAAACACATACAAATATTATTGTTTTTTTCTTCCACTATGTGCAAAAGCCAAATGAAAATACAATGAATGAACATTCGTCTTTGAAAAAAAAAAAAAAAAAAAAAAATCCCTTATTAAGACATATTAGGCTGAATAAAGTCTGCTGATGAAAAACAAAAAAAGTACAAATGAAAGAAACGATTAGAATGAGAAAACAAACCTGCAGTCTGACACTGAACTAGTAAAGAACATGGACGTGGTATCAGACACAAATTGCACATTTTCAGCTATGAGACAAGACTTCACAGTCTAGTCTAAACAGTATCAAAACAGTGCCTGTTATCCAGCAAGAGACGGACAAACTGATGCATCCTGACATAAAAAAAATCTGCTTTAAAGTGATTTCATTGATGGACATTTTTCATCTAATACGGGAAGAAAAAAAACCTTCCTGCATTTGAAAATGGAACTACAGTATTAGTTTGTAAACACTTGGCAACTTTTTTAAAAATATGAGTAAAAGAGGGAACCACCCAAACGTTGTTTAATGATCTCACTTCTGAATGAGTGACAGGCAGAATACACAGCACTCTGAAAGGAAACTCATTTCTCACACAGTTCACTGGAATCATAACGAACCTAAAACAATATGGCAGCTACGGTTGACGTAACATCACGTCCGATGGCTAATAATCAGCTAGGACTTGAGTGAAGCAGTGCTGTAGATGTCGACTACACCCCTCCCCCCCCTCCACTGGAGTTCAACAGCCGACCCCGAGCAACACCTCACTGGTACGTAAACGACTTAATGGACCCTTCTGAAAGTTTACCTGAACAAAGTGTTAAATAGATAGATTGCCTTCATATATATATATATATATATATAGATAGATTTATATATTTATCTATCTATCTATAGCTAGATATATAAATCTTCCTTTCAAGAGAAGAACAATGACATCATCAAATATTCCTTTTAGAAAGAATAATGTCCACTTTGTCCATCTTCTGTGTAAAGAACTACAAAACTGACTCCATATTTTCACAGAACTCGTGGTCCTCTAGGTTGTATATAAACTTTGTCCTGTCCACTTGTTTGGGGCCGTCCGTGAGCGACGGGTAAAACTCCGTGCGTGTCATGTGACCCTCGTGGCTCTTGATGTACTTCTTGTAGTTCCTGTGTAAGCAATACCACGTGGTGGTGTAGAGGAGGAAGGCCACGCCCTTGAGGATGATGGCGAGGCTCACGTACAGGTGCCTGTAGGCCACGTTGTCGTAGAGCAGACAGGCGCCCTTGACGCCGCAGTCCGAGCTCCAGAAGAGACAGGTGGAGTCGATGCCGGCGCCGAAGATCAGAGGAGGCGGGATGAAGCCTGCGAGACAGCGACACACGGAAACAAGAGTCAACAACTCTGTTTGCACAAAATAAACGGAGGAAAACCTCGACTTGGTGTGAATTCTACGTCAACACTAAATTATTAATGTCTTATTTTTTTTTTTACCTGATGTGATGGAACATTTTGTTATGTTTAGTTTTGAATAACGCTTCGGTTATGATCTCTTTTTAAAAATAATACTTTTTATTTGATAGTTTTGAAGAAAAACAACATAAACTGTCAGAATGAGCATATATACATTTTGTATACGGTTTGTATGGAAGACCTACATATAAGTGCTTCATCTATACAGGCATGGAGAAATATTTCTGTTAACTCATTCTACGACAGAAAAGAAGAGTGAGCAAAAAGGAAGAGTTGTGATCTTAATGTATGTTTCTTTTTGTATCTATGGTTTTGATATTACAACATACAACACAGTACTCTATTGTATTGTATTTATATGAATGTAAAATAAATCTGTCTGTCTTTGCTTTAGTCATGTTTGTGTATTTGTATTTATTTCTATGTGATTTCTTGTTAGGTTACTTGTGCTGCGTTTTCCTTTTCTCTGTAGCACTCGTGTCTTTTAACTCACACGTCATAACTCAGTCACTACCTCGTTAAACGTAGGTGATGTAACTCCTTTACAAGGTTACACATTCACATTGAAAGGATAAATGTTTGTAGGTGCATGTTAAACATAAACAGGATCGGTGCTAATTTTCTCCTCTGGCAGACAAATAGTCAAGTAGCTGTTGAACTGTGTGTGAGGGGTATTGTCATGTGACTCTTTGCAAAGACATTTCATCAGCTCTCATACTATTCCTCCAACAAACAACAAACAGTGTAAGATGTTTATGTGTCTGTCCTAACACCAAAACAAAGAAAGAAAGTCAACAAAAATCAGCATGAAGACACAGTAATCACTTATAGCACAAAAGCATCTTCTGTTGTTCTTATTATTCTCTCCGGTCTTGATGTTATCTTACATCTGATACGTCTACATGACTAGCAACAAATGATCATTAAAAAAAATACCCATTTCCTTACACACTTTCAAAAACACAAATATTTCATAGATAATATAACGTTATGCCTTTTTTTTAAAGTACAGTATACCTTTGTGTTTCTAGAGTTCTTGATTTGGACTTTGTTCATTATATCGCCTCTTCCACACTTGAATTACATTTCTTTCTTCACTCTAAATTCTGCATGCTCGAGTATTAACACAGAGCCAGAGTCTCTGAAATTAATATGTTGACTGAGTTTTTAAAAAAGTTCTTACCGAGGAGTCGCAGCAACAGAAACAACACTCCAAGTGCGTAGGATTTCAGTTCAGGGCTCACAGTCCTTCAAGAGAATCGGAAAAAAAACAAAATTACTTTTATTGTTCATCACTGCACCAACATATTCACACCTATTTTCACAACATGCCTGATCAGGATGATAACGGAGGGAGTCTGGGCCATGGCTCCGACCAGGCTACAGGCACAGATCACACACAGGAAGATGAGGAACGACTCCTGGCAGCCCGGCATCGGACATTTCCCTGGCTCCGCTGTGGCAGACTCACTCTCAGAGGAAACACAGGCACAACCTTTCAGAGTCTGTGGAGGGAAAAATATGAAGGGGTTCATTTAAGAGCTATATGAACTATATGAGAAGTACACACATGTTGTGGTCGAGGGCTACACTCTGTTAACATCTGGAGGGAAATCTGGTATCAGTGAAGAGGAGTGATTGATCCTTGCACAGAATTTCTGGCTAACCTGCTGCAGTGAGAAATAGAAATAGCAGAAATAGAGAGATATTCTGTGCTGCTGAGCAGCATGTGATTTGAATATAGAAGACTCTAATCTGCAGATCAGTGCATCTGATCTAAGAACAACTGCAGTAAAAACTTGATTGGCTGATTTGTTGAAGCTGATGAATGAAGTATGAAATGTATGGATTTTTTCCTGCACCACTTTAAAAACAAAGTCATAAAGACTTCTTTAAATAGAGAAAAAAAAAGCTGCTTCCTGTTGTCAAATCATACTGATAATTAACAACTGAGACTTTAATTGTAATTTTTATGATGTGAAATTGCAGTTAGTGAACAGTTTTTAGGTTACAGACCTGAGACATTTCCGACCCGGTCGGAGAGCTTACTTTTCGGGAGCAGCCGGCGAAGCAGGGGGACAGGTACGTGACCCCGTTTGAGCCGCACACCGGGCTGATGGAGGAGGTGAAGCAGTTGCAGGTACTGATGCACTGGGCTTCTGGTTTCTCGCCCACCTGCAGAGTCCTGAAACGGAGGCAGAGACGGAAACCTCAGTGTCCTTGTGCTGCAGGAAGTAATTACTGTATCCGTACAAACAAAACATTGGAGAAGAACACCTTGCCCTTTTTCTTACTATGCTTCACTTTGAACATCCCCATGGCAACTGCACTGAGTTAGGGGTTACCAAACCCAGAGTAGAGAAGACCTGGTGTTCCAGCCATAACCAAAGCAAACCTTTGGTGATGCTGCTTTCAGCTGTTACGCTCCGAGACTGTGGAACAAACCTTCCTGAGGGTCTGAGAGGAGCTGAGAATATTGAGATTTTTAAACGCAGTCTTAAAAACTAATTTATTCAGTCTGGCTTTGATATAAATTCAAATCTTAACATTATTGTATTGTCTTTTTTATCCTACTACTAAGTTTAAATATTAATCTCCTATGTATTAATTTTAATATTGTATTGCTTTTATGTGTCGTATTTTATTTTTTTCATTTTTATATATATATATTTTCAAATTCTTATTGGTGTGCATTAGTCTCTCAATGATTTTATAAACTACTTTTTTTTGTCAATAACTTTTTCTGCCCTCTTGTAAAGCACTTTGAACTGCAATTTAATTTGTCTGAAAGGTGCGATATAAATAAAGTTTATTTGATTGATTTCTTCGGGACCACCATTCAGATAAATAGTGGACTTTTTGTGGGGGGATTGTCACGTTGAAGTGATTTTGGTGACCCCCGTGGACAAAGTGGAACCTCTGATGTCATTGCTGATTTTTTCTTGTATGGGTGTAAGTGTCGTTACTTGAAAAATTTCAAGCTGCTTACTTCTACCAGTCAAACCCATCACTCATCTTGAATCTCTGCAGTAAACACAGCCTGTTCTGTCAGTGTATTTTAACTCACTTCATAAACATCTGCCCTGCAGCAGACTATAAAGAAATGATCAATCTTGTTTCTAACAGTCCTGATACGTCAGTATTAATGTCAGATTGTTTAATACAGACATTAACTCATCACAGGAGCTTTAATAAACTTCAGAAGTTGTAAGATGTTTTGAGTTTTATCAACTAACTTTCCTGTTCCATAATACCTTTGCTCTAAATCTCCTTGATAGGACATGTGACTGATCCATCTTCTTTTACTTTGTATTCAGTGTGTTCAGCCCTGAGCACCACAAGGCCACTTTCTGAATTGAAAATCTTTTTATAGACTCGATTAGAAGACACACAGTTGTTTGAATAAAAAGCGAGTTTGTTGTGCCCTACTGACCGCCGGAGCTGATAAGAATTTTTATTTTCACATTTTAGATCCTCGGCTGTTCACCTCTGATAAAGTCCTGTAACCTTGGCAACAGAGTTACTGCTTATATGTATTTATTAGAATAACTGGGTCCTTAAGATTGGACCAATAACTCTTTTTTTAATACAATCTACAGTACAAAATCTCAACAAAATAATAACAAGAGGTATTCTATGATCTAATAACATGTGATCTGCTGTGCGTTGTTTCAGTTTAATGTCTAGGTTTCTACACTTAATCAAGATCTGGAAGATGTTTTTTGAAGATCAGATAAATATTCTGGTTTTACATGATGGTTCATGGGATTGGTGAGCTGGCAAAAAAAACAGCTTGACTCCGAGCTAAAACTGGAAAATCTTGTGGAGGAAAGGCCATCATAAGACCAGTTATCCAGGAAGTTAAACTCTCTGCAACAAATAACTTTGAGATATATATGTTTTTTATTTTAGCCATTACAGAATAATAAAGGCAAAAGTAGTTGTTTCTACTTTTTTGATAATCTGTTTAAAGAATAGAAATGTCTCCTTTTGACCCTATCCCCTCTATTCAGTGATTCCCCCTTCCCTTGTTTAATTTTAGTCTTATTCAGACATAAATGAGAAATACACAATAAATAAATACATTTATTAAGAAAAATAAATAAATAACATGCAGATGTATCTTGTTGGCTGCTTAAAACTTGACCTGTATCGGAAATCAGAAACAAACAGCTGAAATGTATTCAGTTTCTTACCTGTTGGGGTAAGTGACGGTCACCCCGGCAACAGGACCCGTGTCACAGCCCAGGAACAAGAAGGAGACATAGCACAGAGTGGAGATCAGGTTGACCAGCATGGCCATGCGGATGGCTCCGAGTGCCGACAGGTTCAGCTTCTTCACCAGCAGACCGCCCATGAAAATCCCCAGACATGCACATGGAATAGCCGTCATACCTTTCAAAATAAAATAAAAAAACCACTGTTATATTCACTGGTATAAATTGCATGTGTATGAATGAGCATGTGTGTGTGTGTGCGTGCTTAAAAACAGACCTAGCAGCTGGTTTGCTGAGGTGGTGGTGAGGTTGAACTGCTGCTCGAGGTATTTCCCCAGAAAAGCTGCAAAACCGGCGACCACGGCGATCTCCATACAGGCGGCCAGGATGATGCAGGTGAACACGGGGTTGGACAGGAGGTGCTTGGTCACCTTGGGGATCACTGGTCGAATAAGACAGAATCAACATAAATATCTCGGATTGAGATGACTTTTTAATACAAAATGTTTAACAGATGAATATTAAAGCAAATTTAAACTATTTTTTAAACTATTTCCTAATGTTTGGCAACAATTTGTCATAATGTCTGAAAATGACTTTTCCAGCAGTGTATAACTCAGAGTTACATTTTTATTGTTTTCAGAAATATACAGAAAAATATATAAATGTAACAATATATGTTGTGTATTTAAATGTTTTTATGTTTACAGGCAGAGTATTTGCCTTGAATTCAACGCTGTAGTTCCACAGAGGATCCTGTAAACTCACCCCTGAGTTGCTGACAGCAGGTGGGGCTGTTGGCAGGCTCGTGGTTGCCTACGAGCCCGTTGCTGGATTTAGGAGTCTCATACTCTGAGTTCATAGATGGAGGGAGCATAACCTGCTCGCTCTCAGTCCCTTCCTCCCTCTCCTTGTTCGGCAGTGACTGAGGGAAGCCAAACATCAGGATGGAGGAGCAAAAGAGTAAGGCACCACACAGGAGGAAGCCCGCCCACCAGGCCCCGATCCAACGCGGGTCGTCTGGAGTGATGTTCAGTTGACCTGTGGAGAGAGACAACAGCAAGAGTCAGTACACCACATTACACACAAGAAGACATGTTCAACTAATAATAATAAAAACACATTTGAGGAAACTCACTTGTGTCAATGAAGATGGCATCCACATAGAACTTTGTGCAGACGGAGCCAAGGATGAAGCCACATGCAGGCCCAAACACCAGAGTGGAAAAGAGGATACCTGCACATGACACAGATGTTTAATGTTCTTTTGGTCTGATTCTATTCACCAGGAATCACAAGGATAGCTTTGGTTACAACAGACATGAACATGACACTAAAGGTCACAGAAATCCTGAGATGATCTACTAACCGACTAATGCAAAATAAAAAAAAAACACCTCTGGAAAACAAAAAAGATCACTTGCACACAATGTACACACACTTAAGTCAATAATTAAATACCTTTTTTTTTTTGATGATTTTTGACACTTGATCCATTTACAATTTGTGTAGTTTAATCCTGAGACCAAAATATATATATACGGTATATATATATGATTCTTTCTTATTCGACCAGCAAACTCTAAGGATCGGAGTTCTTCCCTCTCCTCCAGAGTTTAGGAATTTGATTTCGAACAACTTTGGTTCAAATTGTAACTGTTTTAAATGATCTCAGTGGTTTTCGTCACAGATTCTGAGTGTTTTTTTGTGTTTTTACTGTGCTTGTAATCTCGACGGCGTTGGAAATGAAGGAAACCTCAATGTCTTTTCGAGAATAAATAAAAGTTTGAAATGAAATGAAATATGTTATGCTCTGTTGGTCATTAAAGGTTAAATTAAAAAATAAAAAATGTTAAGTTCAGGGTGGCAATAACTTTTTTTTTTACTTTTTTCAAATTCTGAGCTACAATAAGACTTAAAAAGCCACTTTTTGTTCTTTTCAGCTCGGCTTTCTTCTTGCCTTGTCCCGATTGGACTCCTTGAATCAAGACAGCAAACAGCGAAACAGTTTGGGCTGTCATGAAAGATAAAATCAGCCAGTTTGAACCACAAGGCAAGTGCAGCAGCACACACACAAACACACCCATAATGTGACTACACTCACATGGCTCAGCCTCCTGGCAGGTTAACACAGTGAGCAAACTGACCCAAACACACACTCTTGTGAGGTAGACACCTGACAACAGAAACCAGTTTGTTTTGTCCCAGTCTGCTGCAGCGTTCAGCTGGAGATATAAAATGTGGTCTAAAAAAATCCTCATTAGCGCGCTCTGTCAGCGGGGCAAGAGTCTGACACTGTGACTCAGACTGCAGGCAGATAATAATGAGTCAAAGCTCAATTTGGGGGGACAAATCTCTCTCTGGCTCTGTGTCGTGTGATGTGAGGTGTTATCACACGGCAGCAGGGAGTGTTCGACTGCATCTAGCACACAGACACAGGCCAGATCTTCCTCCGAGTTTGATACAGGAATAGTAGCTTCAAATTTGATGTCAGACCAAAATGAAATCTCTGCTGTTCTTCTTCTTTTCAGTCCCGCAGCACCACAATAATCCCTTTTTACTGGCGCCCCGTTGGCCTGAACATCTGCTGATATCAGCACGGTGTCTGCAATAAGATGTTGTTCGGATGCCAGGAGCAGCCACTTAACAAACAAGCATGGAAACTGTGACTAAGCTTCATATGTCTCCACTAGTGCAGATACTGAGCGCACGGTCTGCTTCCTGCCTTGACCACCCACGTAGGGAAGGGAGTCAACGTGTTCACACGATTGTAGCCTCATTCACGTTGTTGTAGTTTGTTTTTCACATAAAGGAAATGGCTCACAGATGAGGCTCGCTGCCACAATGTGGACTCGTTTAGGCAGGACAAGGAGAGAAGCACATGAAACAAGTAAAGGTTTCATGTGTGGATGGGAAACATCTTTGCGGTTTCACAGAGACACCAGCGCGGAAATTAAGACTGTGAGGTGCCAAAGGTGTACGTGTTTTTATTTTTAGCACTTTCTTCAGCTGAGAAAAAAAGCAAAACAGATGTGCTCATCTCCTCAGCTACTCAAAAAACAAAATTTAAAATCAAAGTAACAAAAAAAAAGGCAATTACAGCAGTGACAGCTCTGACTTGTACAGAAGGAGAGTCTCACAACCACAAACATTAACAGTACAGACACACAGGAAGAAGCCGTTGTGGCAATAGACCAATGAAACAGTGCGGTTTAACAGCACAAAGTCTGCAGTCGATACGTAAACATTTTGACTGTGGTGCGTGTTGCAAACGAGGCCTGTGCACCCTTGGTTTCAAGTGTTTCCTTAGAAACGAAATGTGTTGTTCTCTCATAGCAACAACTTCACAATAACTTTCACCACAGGAAGCCGAAAAGAGGAAATTCAGCGAGCGAAATCACCTTCCAGGGGATGATAGCTCAGCGAGCCCCCGAGTCCACCACCGCTGAGAAGATAAATGTTCCTCTCCTGGTCTGTGGCGCTCCCGATGCTTTAAGAAACTCTGTCTCAGTGATGATAACATTGTACCACAGCACGAGTCTCGCACGTGGAGAAAGATACGAGGGAGCACGCTTCCTTATCAATCTGCTTGCTCCTGCACATGAAACAGGATTTGATTATCTTCACATGGAAGAATTAAATTGATAAAATGTTGTGGTCTTTTTTTTTTGTCTTAAGATTAAAGCCATAATAGAATAGCACACACCAAGCAGAGGCACAATGGGATGAAGGTCACATCATCACAAACTGGGTCTTGTATTGGAAAGATAAGCAAAGTTTTTAAACCTAGCATTGCTGAGTTTTGTTCGAGCCTTCTGTTGATACACACACACAAAAAAAAACCTTGTTAAATTGTCAGATTTGGAAAAAAAGAGTGAATGTGTTCGTTTACATTCTTGCATTACCACAGCACAACAACTGGGTTAGCAGCTTGCAAGGCAATTAGCACATGTCGCTAGCTTTGTTCTTTTAATCTGGCAACATTTTCTGTTTTCTAATGTCCAGTCTCTTTAGTAAGCTTGAATAATCATCTAGTGGCCGTTGCTTCATTTTTTTTTTTACTTTACCTGAACAACGGTCAACACCATGCTAATGAACATACAGACTTCAGCCAGTTAGCGTAGCTTTCAGTCCGTAGTTAATATCTGCATTAAGGGTCTCTCAAATGTTGAAGTTTTCCGTACAAACCTCAGGACGTTAAAAATATCAATTCATGTTAGTATATTTACGTGATGCGCAACGAGACTTTACCAAAAGCTAAACTAACTACCTTTTCAACACAGCTCTTAAGTCAAGATATTAACAGAGAATAAATAAGGATGCTTTTCAAAACTTCAAACTCTTTCATAAGCTAACACCTCAGTGCATAGACAGACCTATATTCCTCGTCCGCTTTAGTGCTTTCAGGTCAATAATAAAAAGGCAAAGGCTTGTACAAGAATTCAATCCAAATATTTATATTTTTTTGTCTGACGGGATTAACAAGAAGACAAAAAAAAAAAGAACAGAAAAAACCTAAATAAAGCACATTAAATCTCCATGAAGGACAATTCACGACCACGGCTGTGGGTAATCTTTGTAAAGCTCTTCTTCTCCAAACTGCCTCTAAAATCCCTTTTCCCTTCCAGCGGTCCTGTGTGGCGATAAGTATAAAACAAACTAATTTGTTCATGTTCTACTTCTGCTGAGCCTTTTAGTATCCTGTGAATTATACTCTCAGGGGAGCATGTCAAGATGTAATTCAATTACAAAGCTAGACTCTAGTGTTTTTGTCTCCCTCTAATTTGTTTAGAGACTGATAGAAGAGGCAGGAAAAAGCTGGCCATGAGGCTTGTACTTCTTCCGGATATTAATTAAGCCACAGATGCATCCTGACCCTACGCAATCCATTCAGAAAGTTGCCTTAAGACGAGTATTACATTTAAAATGTTCACACAAGATCACAGACGCCTTAGCTTATCTTGTGTAGATCAGTCAGTTTTTCACACGTAGTGTTTGTGGTTTTGAAATAAAAAAGGAAGAACATTCACGTCATGCTATCTAGCTTCATGCCTTGACAAAATTCTCACAGAACAGTGTGATTTACTACAAAAAAAACCCTCCATCTTCAAGACTATTTAAATGCTAAGCAAAGATTTAGCCATCCTAGAAGTGATGATAACAGTGACTTTGAATAAAATCACTCCTGATTTTTAAGTGGAACTAGTTTAAACCCAGAGAGAGGCAGATTTGAAGCTGTTCAACACAGATAAGAAGATAAGCATTTAAAAAAACTCCCAGTTGCAAAGTGTAGCTACTTTAGACTTTTCTAAACCCGAAAGATTGAGATTATAAAACCAGCGTTGCTTGAGCTCGAACAGCTCATGCTAATAGAAATGTCAGATATACTACGCCTGCAGCGTCCTCGCTTTCCTTCCCGCTCTAATTTCACAAAAGGAATTTCTTCTCCTTTGCTATTAATCCTGCTCAAGTTGGTGCAGTAATCCCCTGAGCTAAATAAGAGCGGAGTGGGATGTTTGAGGCCAAACAACAGCTTGTGCCACTTTCACAAGAGCCCAACTGAAACTGAGAGTGAGAGGATAGATCACCGATGGATAATCCCAGAACCAGACTCTCCACTCTGCACCTCCGGGACCTAAACACAAGTTAATGTCAAGAGGTCAACTGAAAACGGGAAAAAAATATTCTCCAGGCACAAGGTTTCAAGTTTACATTTACAGGGACTATAAAGTTTATTACTGTTTGATATAAAGAGCTTTCAGACAAAAGTGTTAACATCCTCTGCGTAGAAGAAAAAAGACATTTTGAAGATTGAAGAGACTCTGGAGAGCCGCTTTAACAGGCCACAGACGTCTCACTAAACACTGGCTGGTTTAAAAAAATAAAAAATAAAAAGTCCACTGACGTAAAATGGCATCACTCAAGCTGACATTTACACAAAAGATCCAGAACACCTTCACACTACACCTAACAACCGTCCGTCTGCTTCCTGGAGACACACTTCCTCCACTTTCTTCAACTGCACAGAAACAGCAGGCAAAACTGTCTACTGTTTTCTGGTTTGTGAAAGATATTTAGCACAATGCAGAGGTCAAAAAGTCAAATGATTTTCATGTAGAAAAAGCTTTGATGCTTTTCGTTTGTGCCTTAAAGTTATTGGTCAGTTTGTGACTGAAGGTTCTTTTTTTTTTGTGAAGTGTCTCGAGATAACAGTTTTTATGAATTGGAGTTATACAA